CCGCGCCACCTCGTCCGCTCCGTCCCTCGTTCCCCCTCAGGTCCCATCTCGCACGGCGACTACTCCCGCTACCTACCGGACAATAGACTCGCGTTCATTTCTCTGGAATTTGGGGGAGTGTGTATTGTTTGTTTAAACACACATCCCCCTAATGAGGATGATAGATGTTATTGCAAACCTGTTATTAATAATAAATCTGAATCAACAAACTTAAATTACAGTCCAAGTGACTCTTGGGTGTAAGATATATGGAGAAATGGCCCTCCTGTGCATCACGTATGTTGATGGAGCGGTCATATAAAGCAGGACATAAAATTACTAGTTATGTAGACAAAATAGGTTAATTACGCTAAGTAACAGTTAGGTTTTGAGTAATTTCACCAAATTACTCCTCCTCCTCCTCCTCGTGCCCTTTTGTCTGTTTGTTGTCAGCTTGTCCGGGTCCCTCAGGGCTAATCTGCTGGTGTACCAGATGCATGCGCTCATTAACCTGGTGCCACCTTCTAAGAGCTTCACAGACCGTGCCACAGTCGAAAACAAAGAAATAATCTCAAGCATATATAGCCGTGGCGGTCACACACAGGTAGACACAGGGCAAAATGGTATTATTAGCATACTTCAGGTGCAGGGTTTTTGGCAGAAAGACAAGAGAAATGAGTGAAATAAAAGGATAGATAGATGGAAGAAAAGACACAGGGAGAATATGCCAGCAGACAGATGTAGAGGTGAGGGTGTGTCTCCTCTGAAGTCCCCTTCTTCTCTCCCCAAAAGGACGTTCAAAGGATGCAAACAGAGAAAGCCCCTCACGTTCCCTCCATTTCCACCCCACATTGCTGCTTCACACCTCTATCTCCAAGGCTATAGGCCTCCCGTTTCCAGAGAAAGGGATTTCATACAAAAGGGGAGCGAGGGAAAAACAAATTATCCAGCTTTTTGTGTTTTTCTTACAAACGGCAGCTGTCTCTCACGTTGCCTCCCCCATTCACACCCTTACACCCTCAGAGCCATTGCCGTATCCAAACCTACCGAAAAATAACACATGGGACCTCCCCCAATATTCTCCCCACCCCACACACCCCCTGCCCACCCGGGTGTGAGTAGCGGGCTGTGTGGAATAAATGTGCTCATTCATACAGTGTTGAGCAGCTCCATCCCCAATGTAAACAAGCCTAAGGTGGCCGGTTATAAGCCACAGGAGCAAGGAGTGTGTCTGGATCAGGACCATCATCCAACTGCTGTTCCCGGGGAAAAGGATATTTGAAAAGTCCTATTGTATAGATACTCGCTTCGAGCGTTCATTTGATGGCAAATGAAAACAACTTCCAACTCCTGCTGCTTTAGATTTAAATGTGGTTAGGCAGTTGGGTCAGCCCAACAGAGGAGAGGCGATTCAAGGAAGCAGAGGCAGTTCAGAATTAGTGATCTGCTAAATATTATACCGGAATTTATCAAAAAGGAACTACTTTTCCATCATTTAATTTAGTTACACACATTTCTATTAATGTAACTTAACATTTCTACCTTTTATTTCACTTGTAAATATTCCATGAGTCCTGACATGTCACTATGACTTGAATGAGTGAACTGCTTAGTAGGACTAAAATAATTACTCAATTAATTAATTAATTATCGTAGGCTACTGACAACTATAATCCAATTATTGCTTAACTCACTTTGGACGTACAATGTTGTGGTTTTTGGCCTTAGCTTGACAAAGAATGGACTTAACATATACTTAAAAAAAGATTAGCTAATTAATTGATAGTAAAGGAAAATCCCAGTCCCAGTTAATTTAATAATAATAATAATAATGCATTTATTTTATAAGGCGCCTTTCAAGGCACTCAAGGTCGCCGTACAACAAGGTTAAAAACAGTTTTTTTACAAACATAGTTAAAAGCAAAACACAGTTTAAAAACATAACTACTAAAAACATACAGCTTGCAGCACAGGTCAGCCATACGCTTGCCTGAACAGATGGGTTTTGAGGGGAGAATTTGAATTCTTTAAGATAATAGATGACATTTAAAATATGTTTGAATTTATTGTGGCGTTAGCAACCGGGCAAACTAGCTTGCTAACCTAAAATGGAAGGGAGGGTGGATGGATGGAACGGCAAGTGAGTAAAACCTTTATTTAGTAGGCAGTATTCAATATATGAATTGACTGTGTCGTAAGGATGTGGTACGTTAGTGTGCCATTAGTATTGGAACACAGCCGATCTCTCTTTCACTGATATGCATTTTGTCCTGTCTGGATGTTCTGCACCATGACTATCCTTGGTAACTGGGTATGAATGGACAGGCTCGGACTCTATAATGAGGAGCTCTGTCAGCACTTCAGCTTCAGAGACTTTTATTGCAAAGTGTAAGTTAAGCAAGAACAGAGGGGCTGCTGTATATCTCCTCTGTAAAAACGATGTGATGACTACTACAGATGATAACCTTGTGATAAACTGAACTTCCTCTCACATCCTTTTTCTCACTACCTCGACCCCTTTAAAAATATCTTCACAATTGCATTTACATAAAAGATTAAAGAGATATTATACTTCTTGTATTAATCCTCTGAGAATTTAAAAGACTATTTTACAATCAAATTGCTTCTATTGTGTGTTTTGAGGTCATGCGTCCATTTCAATCTGTTTTTAAATCACTGTCTGTGCTCGAATAAGCCAGCAGGAGAAAAGTGCTCAGTGGATGAGACGTGTTTACCAAGCTGCTGCTGCGACATGTATTAGGCAGATGGGTGTGTTTCATAAAGCTTTTTATTATTAACTCAACAATGGCTCTCACGTACTTGAAAACCACTCAGTGAAAAAGCCTGTAAAGCACATAGAGGCTGAACTGGAAATATATATGTGCCTTTGTACAAAATGTTTTCAAACGCCAGCTAAGGTCATATGCTTAAATTGGTTGGTTTGAATAATAAATCATTGCTCTTACTCTTGCAGATGTTGCTGGATTCTCCTTTTCAAGTGTTTTGTATCCACTTCAACCCCTGTCTAATAGACTAGAAAATAATTCCTTTATTGTCATCGCACCAGGTATAACGAAATTTAAAAATGTAATCAGTAAGCTAATTTAAAACCAAAGTTGAAATGGGAAGGCTATCTCTCCACGCAATAACAACAGCAAGAAAACCTGAAGAAACAAGGGGCTGAATTAAAAAACAGAATAATTATTCACACTTAACAACCAGCGGCGGTTATTCTCTGAGGTAATCAGAGATTTCACAAAGCCATTCTTTGTGGTGACCTTTGCTTTGGCTCTTTATGCAATGTAATTTCAGTTGTTATAAATTAGCTGTGGCTGTTCATTTATCTGTCGTATAGAAGTACACACCCAAATACAAAATGTGGGAGTGTGTTATTTATTCATCTATCATCCTGTAAAATGTTTTACACTCTGAATAATGGAGGAGCTCAAGGTCAGTTATTACAAGCTGAGCAATTACTAAGGAAATATAATACAATTATTGCTTTAAATAGTGACCTGCATCTTAATGTCCAAAGACTTGAGTCCGTCTCCAAAACCTTAGATCTCCACAATGGCAAACATCATAAACTTAAAGAGTCAAACTTTTGCTGTCATGAAAATTACCACTGGTACCAAAGGTTACTGCTAACAGTGCATGTATAAACCAGTGATATCTCTACACCAATAAAAGACCAATAAAACAGCATATTAAGTTCAGATTCAAAGTCAAAAGGAAAAACTCCACTGTGTATTTCCTATAAAAAAACACTTAAAATAACACTTGACACAGTTTCCCATAACTCCCTGTGTAGTACAGAGCCTCACTCGCTCACGCCTTCCTTCTCATTTAAACATAACCTCAGTACTGCCCTCCCCGCTGGACATGCAGCCCCTTTCTTACCTCTCATATTCCAGGTTGTCATGGTCACAGCGGGCGTCCTTGTGCTTCTCCCAGTCCTTCCCGTGGCGGCACGTCGTCAACGACACAATGTCCTTTCCGTTGTGGATGTGATGAAGAGCGTTTCTGGTGTCTGAACCGATGCCCGTCAGATAGCGCTTCCCCTTAAACATCAGCAGGTACTTCCTTCGTGGCGGGGTGGCATTCCTCACCAGCCAGCCCCGCTCTCCGCCCTTCTGCGGGTGTTCCTTTGAGAACAGCGGGATGGACACGTCAAAGCCTGGCCTGAAATGTTCCGTGTTGAGGCTGGCTTTGGCTAAGATGGCCTGGCCAATGTTGAAGCCTAGGTCCTCTGTGTAGTTAGGCCAGGTGCCCGAGTACAGGTTGAAGATCAGGTGGTTCCTACCGTCATTCCAGAGCGGGTAACCCTTGATACGTTCATCCAAATTGGGCACAAACTGTCCTGATAGCTGGTCCCGATCTAAGGTGTCTATCCCGAGCACAAACAGGCACGCTTCACGGGGGTCTGTTGTGAAGTACCGGGACTCACCTATGGACGTCAGGATCTTCCTGTAGCTTTCTGACACATGGTCATTTTTCTCTGTCGGATATATATACACCCTGAACCCTTCTCTTCCTCTACGGCGACACCGCGAGAAGTCGAAACAGGTCTCCATACGGCAGCGACTGTCCTTATAAATGGTCGACCACGCCTGGTGGCGCTGGCGGGGCGACTCAATCGCCCCGGGGTCC